CATGGACGATGTGTGTGAGGGTGGACATGTTTGGAGGTTGCTGTGTTGAAGCTCCATGGATCAGCCTCTCTGCAGCTCTCAGCACCTTCACTGAGCCTTGAGGGAATCACTGAGCTGCTCTTGTTCTTCAGTTAGAAGGTGGGAGCTCTCGTCAAATGATGATCTCCAGCATCATCTTGTTCATGCCAGGCTTTTCATCCACTGACCACAGACACCTGGAAACATCAGGGGACCAGTAGTTGTTTAACACATCTGGAAGGAAACCAGTGAGATTTTAGTACGACCATGACCATTATGATATGATGGTATGTGGGGGAGTGGTGGTGCAGAGGTTACAAGATGGGCCTGTGATGGGAAAGTCGCAGGTTCAACTCCCGGTACCGTCATCATCAAAATGAGGTGGAAAAGGTGAAACACCCACACCTGCCTCCACCCTCATAGGCCCCACTCTGGGCCCCTGAGCAAGGCACTCAACCCCCACCATCTGCTCCTAAACAGGTCTCTCTAGAAAATGAGTTCTCGTGACTCAATGAGACTACCTGGATAAATAAAGGCTAAATGAAAAAATAAAAGTTTAAAATAGAAATACTCACATCATGAGGCTAAGGTTGTGTGTGTGACGTGCACGTTCCTGAGGTTGTGTGTGTGACATGCACGTTCCTGAGAGTGTGTGTGTGACGTGCACGTTCCTGAGAGGCCACAGACAGAGCAGCTCCAGCTTTTGTTGAGTTCCTGTAGTCCTGCAGTTTTCAAGCTGAAATGAAAAAACATCATGAATATGAACTTTACAGTCTATAGTTACCTGTTCATATAAACACATGGAGGTGTCTCACCTTGTGACTGACAATAAAATATGTAACTTTATGAACTCTAATGAACTTATAATGATGCTCCTACTCTTTGAAGGTGAACCGATGGTACCACACCATCTCTCTGTCGGACAGTCTGATCAGTTTGATCAAAATCCTCCAGTTTAAAATCCTCACTGCTCAGATGAATCCTCCTCAAAGATACTTCCTCCTCTTCCTCACATCTTGTTCTTTGGGAAACCTTCAAAATGAAAACAGGAGATCTGTGTCTACACAAAAACATTGTACAAAGGAGGTCAACCTTATTTTCTATTTCCCATATTCTCCCCAGTTTTATTTTTTTATTTCCTAGAACTTAAACAAAACTCCAATTATGATACATGTCTCTTGATAATGAACCAAAGCTGCTGAAATTGTGAGTATGCTTGTTAGAAAAATATTCCTGTCATCAGATCTCAGTCAGCTTCATTGCAGCTGAACATCGTGTTACACTGAACATCACATCAGCTGGTGGACATAAATACAGTACAGTAATATTATATTCACAAAATACTAACAATAATATGTTCATCTTACTTTTGAAAAGTTATCCCACGAGACATGACGTCAACAGTCCGTCGATCTGAACAGAAATAAGCTGCGAAGTGCTGAGACATCTGCTTTAACCGAATAAGGACGACCGTATCAAGATGGCGGCCGAAAATCCTGCGCCGCAGCAGCCAATGAGGCATCTGGTGATTATATCTATGGCTGGAACGATACTTCGTCCCTGGGTGTGGTCACCAGTTTTTTTTTTTTACTTTCGGTTCTTCAGGCTGAAGTTAGAAACGTCCTTAAGGTTGCTCGACCTCATTTAACTTATATTTTATTAGCTAACAGACATATATAACTCATATCTATCTGAGGCAGATCATGTAAGCGACTAGTTGTTTTGTTTTCTTGTTTTTTTGCTCGAAAGTCTTTAGTTTAATTTCGAAGATGTTTCCTTCGGTTAGCTTTCTGGCTATCGTGCTATGTCATTTAGCAATAAGTACTTCCGGTAAGTTTTTTTTTGTCTTTAATTGTTTTGTTTTTTAAGTATTGTTGAAAGTTTTATGAGCGTAACCATGAACATTTCACTAAATATTCAAAGATTTTGTAAAGCATTTCGTGTTTTCTGACCCAGATATTAGACGTATGCATTGACTTAACTCGTGAAAACAAAATACAGTTTTTATTATAATTATTGTTCTTATTGTTATTATTATGGTCACATATTTGTCTATAAAGTGTTTTAGAAACCAGATTAGGAGTGGTGTGACCATGGGTATGACCTGATGTGTGTGTCCAGCTATCATATTTCCAGGAAGTAGTCTGTTTCAGCGGTGTTGATGGGTAAAACAAAACGTTTTCCATTCCGTGTAAACGTGCTTTTAAAAATGGGATAAATACTTAAATATACGTAGTTCAGCTTTAATACTCACATGCCAGTGAAGAAGCAGCAGGTATATATCGTGCTATATTTGATAAATGTTTAAATATTAAGAGTAAATCAGCAGTCCATTACATTGTTTAATGGCAGATCAGGATACAGTGCAGAAAACCAGAAGACAAAAAAAGAAATAAAAAAACCTACGCTATTTGTTTGCTGTTATAATTATTTTAACAGTTTTTATTGACAATTTTTAATTTTTTTATGAACATATGACAAGAACAAGCATATCAGGAATTTCATTCATGTCACCAGAGTGGCTCCACTGTAAATAAACTAATGAAATCTTAACGAACCCTATTGTGAGGACTGAGAGGAAAAATGCATACCCGTATTTTCCGGCGATACGTCGCAGTTTCTTCATAGATTTGACAGTCCTGTGACTTATATACTTTTTATTTTTTTCTATATTCATAACTAGGCCTGTCGCGATAAACAATAAATCAATTAATCGCACGATGAATGAAAATTACCGGCCTCGTTTTCATTTATCGGCTTTATCATTTCTTCGTGTGTGTCTCTTTCTGAAGACGCTGGATGACAAACGGCTCAACTCTGGTGCTCTTCACTGACCCCTCTCTTTCTCTTTTCTCTTTAAAATCTATTTTAATGATCCAAACTCACGTTTTTGGATCATTAAAAGCAGCTAAGCTGAGAAGCTAAGCTACGAGCTAAGCTAACAGGCCGACCTTGAGGAAAACCCTCCGTTTTGTCAAAGCTCCAAAGCGCCTCCCTTCCATTTTTCTTACAAGACATGCTGCTTGCTCCCACACTATCCATCCTTCGGTTCAAACAGTCTCATTGTGCCATTCGGTGGTCAAAAAAAAAAGGTACTACACTCAAAATAAAATAAGATGGAAAACATTTCTTCTTAAATTTGACAATAATAACTAGGGGTGCGAATCTCTGTGTCAGACGATCCGATTCGATTCCGATTTTTAGTGTCATGATACGATTTAAAATTAATTTTTCGATTCGGAAACGATTTTTCTGTTGAAATAGTCATAAATTTTGTTTCAATTATGTAACTGACAAGTTGAAAAGATTAAACCACAATGTACCATTTATTTATTTTACTGTATGAAATATTTTTTATTCATTTTATATTTATACCAAAAATAGGAAAAAATATAGGAGGGCATAAAATTCTGTAACTTAAATTACCAGTATTAGGTTAGCTTAGTTGCCTCAATTAAAATAATAATAATCTAGGAACAAATTATCCATCATCTTTACCCACTTCTTCCTTTTTGAGTCACTGGTATCACTGGTGCCCATATCAGCCATCACTGTGTGAGAGGCAGGGGGACACCGGGACAGGTCTCCAGTCCATCACAGACAAATAATTCAAAATATATAAATATAAAAGTAAACAGACTTCAGCATACCATAGTATATTAACCTTTAACTCAACATAAAATACAGACTTCAGTTATTTTTAACCATATTGCTCTAACATTTGTTATATTTTCAAAACTTAACCTAATATGAATTGATTCATATTTAGTAAATCTTTAACAAAATTTCAAAACCTGTGCAAGTTTGCACAAAAACCTCTTCAGAACCATAATTTATAAACCATAAACTGTATCATTTAGAACTGGCTCCAGGTGATGTGTGTCTCATCTCTTCAACCTGTTAAAAAGACAAATTACATTAAGTTTGTTGTACAACTTGTCTATAAGTTTTAGTGTAATATGAGAAAAAGCAGTTCCCTTTGAGCTGCAGCTGCATCAGAGCTTCTCCCATCCGTTGTTTCATGGTGAAGTTATGGTGCTGCTTTATCGCAAAAAAAAAAAAAAGCTACGTGAAGGAATAACGTACGTTGAATCCATCGTATTAAAAATAAATTTAAACCCCTCGCCTTCCAATGAGCTGTCTGCTCATAAATTCTTTGTGATATAGCCGGAGATGGAAATCTTCACAGCCTTTGGGGAATCAGCTGGAAGTTTGTTGCAGAGTTCGCTGGTCGGCTGCTTCGCTTTCATCTTCCGTGAATTTTGTCGTATATCCAAAATACTGTCCCGCAATTTTATTTTACGCTTCTTGTAAACAACTGTGTCTGTCTTCACCGGAACATTGTAGGATCTGAAATGATTTTTAAAGACGAAGCAGCGAGTTGAATCGCGCTGTCTCCCTCCTCCATGCTAGCAGGCTCCATTCAGATAAAGGGAGCTGGCTAACCAGCTTGCTGTACGGCGTCGCGCCCGCGCCCGACCCCCCTACACGGCTCAATTCTACGGTGGCCGAACAGGGAGTAAGAGTGGAAAAAATATAAAACTTAAATTCATTTTAAAATCAATTTTTGGATCTTTAGAAACAATTCGGAATCGCCAGAACTAAGAATCTAGATTCATCGAAAAAACAATTTTTTCTGCACCCCTAATAATTACTAATTATTGTCAAATTTCAAACAATATTATCGTTTATCGCAATAATTTCTGAGACAATTAATCGCCCAGTAAAATTTGTTATCGTGACAGGCCTATTCATAACACAATTTTTGGCTGATGCTTTAAATGTTCATACTGACATGAACCAGAGTAAACATTACCATTTGCAGCCACTAGAGGGCCCTCTAGGCTTTTGACAACTACAGTTTTGCATATATGTTGTTCCTGTACCGCTACCCGCCCCCACCAAACATTGACCATTAAAGTGAATTCATTAAGGAAAAGTTAAACCGAGACACGCCTTTGCTATAATGTCAAAACAAATAATTGTTTTTAAGTGTTAATCTTGTTAAATTTCGAAGAATTGCAACAGCGAGTCTTGTGCGCACTCCCGCGGCCGCCAATCAATTTTTTTTGTCACGACACCGGCGCACATTTCCGTGGGGTTAGCGGTGATGCATAATAAACACGACTTATACGCAGAAGCGATGTTTTTTTTTCCTCTTCATGATGCTTTTTTTTCGACTGATGTGACTTTAACGCCGTTAAATACGGTGCGCATCTAGCTTAGCTTAGCTTTACAACTCGAACCCCACACTCTCTGTTTGAATTGAGAAAGCTCCTTGGATGAGAAGCGAAACGTCTTCAGTTACAGATGAAGTCCAGATGTTTTTGCTTTTAATCTAGTGTGGGATAACGCGCAAAACAACAACAAAAGGGCCGACAATGCAAAATATTTAAAAGAGCCACCAAGTGAGAAAAAAGTAAAATATTTCTCATGTTTTCTGGTTGGAGCGTGCACAAGATACTTGATAAGTCTAATGCTTTCTTATCAAACATTTCTATTTTTCTAAAGAAAGACAGAGGGGAAAAGTTAGTCGCTCCATAGCATGAAGTCCCTGTGTCACGTCCATCCATTCTGCAACAGTTCGGTGGTTCCCCCCATTTAACCATTTTCAGGTTACTGCCTTTTTATTATCCACCTGGAATATTTGTAATAAACGTATGTCTTGTTTCTTCAGTCTGTTTGGTTTGTTCATATAAAATATGCTGAAGCTCTCCAGCTGTGGCCCTATAATTCGTTGCACTGTTTTAACCACATCTGTCCAGTAGGGGGAAATCTTGGGACGCTCCGTAAACATGTGGAAGTGGCCTTCTGATGTATACCCCCACGTGACGTTCCCTCCAACATTTACAAAGTTCATCATTTTTACTTTGGCGTTCCTTCACACTGGGTGTAAAGTCCATGAATCAGAGCTACAAATATTTATGCAATCTTCTTCAGATCATTCTGTTCTAGCCTCTTTCTCTCGTCCGACCTAAATGTACATTGTAGTGTCTTTTCCATTTGTGACACTGACTAAGTCTTAGTCAGTGTTTCTTTACTTGCGTCTATAATAATGCTAATTAAGTGCCTTGTATCCTGCTTTTTTTAAGATATTTGCATTAAAGTGATGTCTTAATTGAATATATCTTTTAAAAAAATCTCCTAAATTATAACCATTTGTTGGAAAGTGTCAAGAACTTTTCCAGATGTTTTGCTATTTAGACATAAACTAGAGTTGAAAAAGACAATGGGTGGATAATAATAACGGTGTGAAATGTTAAAGATGCCCTTCTATAGTAAATTTGTTGATTTTTGTTTTCATTCTTTAGCCCTGAAAGAACTTCCCAGTATAAACGTAAGGGTTGGTGGCACAGTGGTCCTCCAGCCTGGTCCTGTGGACGGTAGCATCTCTAGTGTGACCTGGAAGCACAACATCGACCTCGCTGTGGAGTGGTTTAACAGTGAGAAGCCTGAATACTATCGTGAATTTAAGGGTACGCTCACCAGTTACAGTCATGTCAAACTTGATTATTTAAGGGCTCTCTTTAAGGCTACAGACTTAAAGGGATACTTTATTTTTAGAAGTGATGTGTCAAATAGTTATGATTGGCGAGTGTATTATCAGCTGTGACATCATTCATAAAGCAGAACACTGAATTCTGCGTAAATATTTAAGGTGCTAAATTAGTTTCCTTTCTTGTAACTGGATTACGTCTGAGTTATATGTTGATGTGTTAATGCAGACTTAGCAGCAGTCTGCCAGAGGACATGAAGGATCCGGGTTAATTTAAACCTTGAATCTATGAACTAGCGTAGAGCGTAATAGAGATATATGAAATGGCATTAACTGCAATGATATTGTTAAGACTGGAGTTGTTTTGAGACGCCAGCGATCCACGTCGGTCTATGTTCCGACTATCTGGTCACCATTCAACTTAGACATCTGGAGGACAAACTGGCCATAAAGTGACTCTGCTGTCTTTAATATGTTAAAATAAACTAAGTAAGTAAGTAAGCGTATAGCAGCATAACTAGGGGGTAGCTCAGGAAACCGAAGCCAACCCTAACCATAGGATTTATCAAAAAGGAAAGGCTTAAGCCCAGTTTTGAAGGTGCACAAGCCTCACGGGCAGCAACTGGAAGTTGGTTTCCACAAGAGAGGAGCCTGACTACTGAAAGGTCTTCCTCCCGTTCTGCTCTTGGAAACTCTAGGAACCGCAAGTAAACCTGCAGTCTGAGAGCGAAGTGCTCTCAATGTTTCCCCTACCATTATACAAGTGGGGTGCACCGCCCCCGTTAACAGAACCGAGCGCCTCGCCTACCAAACCAAACTGCGCACAAACACCCCTCCCCCGCACCTGTCGGCACTGGCCTAACGCTAAGCTAGCGGCGCGCAATACAGGCACACTAGCTAAAAAGTGCGTGAGCTGTCTCTCCCCTCACGCTGGACCCCCCCAGTCTCAAACTGCCGGTATAAACAGCGCAGCTCATCTGTAGCTGTGCCCTCCCCCCCCTTCAAAACAAACAGCGTGCAACAACATCCCCCCACCCCCGGTCGAGAAAAATCACAGAAAGTGTTTCCCCTAGTTAACTTGCCATGGCGGGGTGCTCATCTCATCCATGGTTTTTGTTGACGGGGGGGGCGATGGAGACATGTCTGAGTGCAGCTTGTAACAACAGTTTTTGAGTGTTGGGGGGGCGACGGAGACATGTCTGAGTGCAGCTTGTAACAACAGTTTTTGAGTGTTGGGGGGGTCGGGGGTTGAGCTAGAGGGAAGAGGCGCCTTTAGCTTTTTAGCTAGAGTGTCTGTATTGCGTGTTGCTAGCTTAGCATGACGCGTTATGCGTTGTTTATATAGACAGTTGGTGTGTGTGTGTGTATGTGGTGTTCAGCTTGAGAGAAGAGGTAACATGAGCGCTGCCTTTAGCTTTTTAGCCAGAGAGCCTGTATTTTGCGCCACTAGCTTAGTGCTATGTCAGTGCCAGGTGTGGGGGGGCGTGCCAAGTTTGGTTTGGTAGGCGGGGTGCTCAGTTCTGGTGACGAGGTGGGGCGCCCCGCTTGTGTAATGGTTGAGGAAACACTGGATGAGATGAGTGCCCTGCCATGGCGAGTTATCCAGGGGAAACACTGTTATGAAAATATGGAACAATAAGATCTGTAATATAAGATGGAGCTAGGTTGTTGAGGGCTTTGTATGTTGGAAGTAAGATTTAAAATAATAAATTACTGTAAATGCTAGAAGCCTAAAATGAATCGGTGTAAATATGTGTAAAGTTGAACAAAGTTTAAAATGTCTGAACCATCCCTTTAAATAGGATGTAGTATTGTAGCAGAGATCCAGTGTAAATACAAAACCCTCCATTTTTATAAATCATGTAAATAACAGTTAATTGTATGGTGATTTGTCAGTTTTGTAGCTTTCTGTCAGTGTTTTCCTACATATTTATTTTCCCCATCTTGCTTTTAGGCATTCGATGCCACTTATAATAAAAATTAATCAGGTTTTAAAAACGCAAAAGGAGCAGAGACTAATTTCAGTCGTTCTTTTAGATCACGCTTCCTTGAATCAAGCAGATGGAGTTTTGACGATCAGCAGGTTGACTACAGCGTTCAGCGGCACGTACACGGTTGAGATCAGCAACAAAGTCATCAGCTCACAGAAACTCCAGGTCTTACGTAAGTCGAAGAACTTTCACTTTAATACGTCTGCTTTTTTATTTTGTATTGTTTGACTCAAACTGATGTTTGTTCTTGTTTCTATTAGATCCAGTCCTGAAACCTACAATTTCAGTGAAAAAGAAAACTGCGACTTCATATGTTTTGATGTGTAACCCCCACGTCAACGATCAGGCACAATTGGTCCAAGTCAAGTGGATAGTTGATGAACAGGAAAGATCAGAAACATCCAACACGCTGACAATAAATGAGGTACGAGCAGAATGAAGGTGGCGGCGAGTGAATCGATCGTAACCAGATTTCTATGATTCATTCTTACCCGAACATCGACATCAACGTGCGAAACGTTTAGATCGGACAGTTTGAAGTGGCAGGTTATGAGCAGTTAATATCTTACCTGTTGTAGATGACCCTTTGAGCGACCTGTTTGGATTAACAGTTTTAATGCTGACACAACTCAAATCCACAAAATCTCATATTACATAACTCAAATACTTTTTTTTTTTATAAACCTGTCCACCGCCTAAGGCTGGGTGATATATCAAGAATTTCTTTAAAAAATTCTCTATTTTCATGCAAGATATAAGATCAGACAATATCGATATGGTCTAAGTTGCGTTATATATTACAGCAGGGCTATTCAAGCATATCAGCACATTAATATAAACAAGGCGACGAGGCCCAGAGAAAACTAAATCACTGGCCTCAACCCACCTTCTTGCCCTAGAGTCTTTGTGACATCTTACTATTACACTATTACAACATTTTCAGGAAACAGCACAATGACGGCTTCGCTAAAGGTTTTTAATGATGTCGTTGAAGCATTGGATGACAAGAATTATTGTGCTGCACTTTACTAAGACCTGTCTAAAGCTTTTAACACAGTAGAAATTGACATCTTATGTCATAAGCTCTCAGAAATTGGTTTTTCAAATCACACTATTGGTCGGTTCTCTAATTCTCAGATCGGAGGCAATGTGTTCATCATAATGGTACTTCTTCCAGCTATCTAACTGTTAACAATGGTGTACCACAAGGCTCAGTGTTAAGACCCACCCTCTTCACAATCTACACAAGTAATGTAGGTCAGATTATTCCTGATACATCCTTACATTTCTATACTGATGACACAGTTGTTTATTGTCGAGCTAAGATTTTTCAGCTTTTGACATCATCCAGTCAGATTTGTTCCGTCTCAAACTGGTGCTAAATTCTGACAAAACCAAAGGGATTTTGTTTTCAAACAGGAAGTCGGTCCCAGCAGTCCGTCCTTATATTTTATCTTCATGCTGTTCCTATTGAGTTTGTCTATTCTTACAAATTCTTGGGTATCTTGGTTGATTCGCATCTCTCTTTTAGAATCAGAATAAACTTTATTTGAATTGCACCGAGGTACAACGCGAATATGTACGTACAGTCGTCCGAAAGACGGGCGGAGTGCACGAAGCTGCAACTACAGGAGAGCGCGGCCATTTTATCCTTATCAGATAATAATCTTAGATAGGAAAAGGGGGAGAAACTTGAGGGTAGATAGTGGTATTACAAAAAAAGATCTTCACGTCTTGTCTATCAGGACACGATATGAGACATCAAAAAACTCTACCAGCAAGCACAATAAAACATGATTACATTTGCATTTGACATCAAGGTGTTGAGATTTGTCCATGAGCTTTTTTTTTTTTCAGATCAGCCACAGTTTCTGAAGATGTTGTTTCCAGCCAGCAGTTCTGATAAGCCTGCACAGAGAGTTCTCGTGGGGGATGGGGGGGGGGGGGGGGGGGCGATAGATGAAGCTTTTGTCCTTGGGTACTCACGTCCCAGGAGAAATTTGATAGTCAGCCCGTCTCCGAGGCCATTGGGAGTCAGATTAGATAAGCTTAATATTTGTTTTTCTTCAGGCAGACAGATTTTTTCTTCAGCCTTGAGTCCATCTGGGCGTTCTGGTTCCGAAAAAGCCTAATTGTGGAATTAAGTTTCACTGATCCATGCTATGAGTCTCCTTCAAGGTCGAACCCACCACGCTGACGAGTCCCAGAAGCCGCAGGTGGTCTGCGATTCTCAATCGCCTCCACCTTGTTGATGTGTTCATGCGTGCACATCTGCTCACAGACTCATGTTCATGTTTGTGCTGATGTTCAATGTTTTATGTTATGAGTGCTTAGTGTATATTTAGTTGATGTTTTTCTTAGTTCATATCTTAGATGTTACTGTTTTTCTTATACATTTTATTGTTGGATGTAACTGGGACCCTATGTACATAATTTCGCTCCACCACATGTACCACATGAGGTGCGAATGACAATAAAGAAACTCTGACTCTGACTCTGACTCTGACTGACTTACGGTCAAGCTCGTAGACCAGACGATTTAAAGTTCCCACAGTGAGGACCAGACCTTCACACTGACTCGGGAGCTTTTCCATGGCCAAAACTGCTCCCGCTGTCTTCTTCAAAAGTCGATAAAGCAGAGCCCCGCCTATGCCAAAAAGCAGAGTCCCTGCTATCATAAGTCCAAATATGTAAACGTCTTCAACATCCTCTTGAGACAGAACAGAGAGGCACATCAACTGCCACACTCCCCACTAATCCATGACGTACCCCACAGCGTGAGTCTCAGCTGGACATGCCGGTTCCCCAGGACCTTGTCGTTTTGATGAAAAAATCTTATCAATAGAGTTGAACGCCCACAATACCAAATCTATAATCTTCTTAATTTATGTTCGGGAGATGAGACCCAGGCGCTTCAGACAGACAGAGAGCAGAGCAGGAGGAAGGAAAAAAACGGGGGAGGAGAAATTGAAGCTGCCACCTCGATCAGAGCCTGGGAGGAAATTTTAAGCCTCATCTTGAAAACTTGGTAAGGAAACTCAACGTTAAACTGGGTTTCTTTTTCAGAAATAGATCCTGTCTAACTTTGAATGCTAGGAAACACCTGGTAGCTGCAAATTTTTCCCTCCATTGATTACGGTGACATTATTTACATGAACGCTCCTACAAGCACCCTGCAGATGTTGGATACTGTCTACCATGGTGCGTTATGATTCATAACTGTCTGTAACTACCGTACCCACCACTGCACCCTGTATTCACTGGTTAACTGGTCATCATTAACTTCACGCAGACTCTCTCATCAGTATATTTTTATCTTTAAATCACTTCTTGGTCTGTTGCCTTCATACATCTCCTCCTACACGTCTCTGCGTAAGTGCAGTTACAGCGTGCACTCTCAGGACATTATTACTTGCAGTGTTCCCTCAGTGCGGACTGAACTAGGAAAGATGCTGTTCATAACGTTTACCTCAGAACGCTACTTTATAATGACTGACATGTGACTTTAACTCCCCGGTGTTTATAATCAAGTCAAAGAAGGGAATAAAATTGGGAGTATGGTTTGGTTTTAGAGATTGTTGCTAATTTTGTTTTTCCGTGTGATTTTTAGGAGACTGCTTCACGTTCATTTTTCTGTATATTGACGAATCCTGTCAGCAACATGTCGAGTGACGCCGTGACAAACCCTTTCCTCACAGGCGAGTCACTACAGATGTCCATTAAATCCTGAAATATATCAGTACTCTGAGACAGAGAGTGGAAGGAAGAATGAACTGTTGAAATAATTGCCTCTTTTTGTTTTGTTTTGTAGACTCTGACAATTCTGGCCTTATTATTGGAACAGTAGTAGTAGTGATAATCCTTCTAGCGGTTCTGGTGTTCCTGTTAATCCTTATTGTCAGACCACGTAAGCATCAAGCATTTTATCAAGATCCATTTTCTTAACAAATTTATTGACATTTTAAATTTTTTCACAGCGTCCTCATTGAAAGACAAACCCGCAGTTAAAAGACTGCGCGATTCTGGTTTTGGCAAAGCGATTCTTTCCGCCTGCAGCTGCTTGACGGGTAAGCAGGAAATGTGTAAACATAAACAAAACAACAAAATCACTCCCCAACTCCATTACCACATGTAAAGCATTTAAAGTTAAAGAACGATCTTCCTCCCATTCTGCTTTCGGAAACTCTAGGAACTGCGAGTAAGCCTGCAGTCTGAGAGTGATGTGCTCTGTTATGAAAATATGGAACAGTAAGATGTCGAATACAAGATGGAGCTAGGTTGTTGAGGGCTTTGTAGGTCAGAAGTAAGATTTTGAATTCAATTCTGGTGCAAGTCTTGAGTCTGTATTTTTTTAATTTTTAGGTGTGAGCTGCTGGAATATCTGTTTTGTTTTTTTAAAGCTTCCCGACAATTTTGTGCACATATTTCCAAAATGATTGTCCTTTTTAATTCTCATATGACTCCATGACTGTCAACATTTTATCAGCTGCCATCAGAGGCCTATTAATTTGGCTTGAATTTGTCTGAAAATATTCGAAAACATGGAAGCATTTAAAAAAAATTCACATCGCGCTTGTGTTATAGTTCATTTGTTGTGAGAATTATCTACAAAAGATCAGCTTCACTCCAACAATAAAGCAGTCTGTGGATTTTAGGGTCTGTCTTAAATAATAATGAAAATGTCCATGAATTAAATCAGTTTTTCTGTATTTTCTGTCATGACACCCTACAAAGGTAGTGAAGCTCATTTTTTCAAAAGAGATCAGAAATGCTTGGCCATTTGCAATTTCACTT